CAACCCGAAGTTTTCCATCGTCGAAAACTTGTTCTACCCGTGAGATTTCGCCGTTAGTCGATTCGTTTCATTCTCACTTTGGGTTAAACTAATTAAATTTATATGTTTATTATAATTGAATGAGTGTCCAAACCCCTTGGAACTCATAAAATTAACCCAAAAGTATTCATTTCAAAAAGTTAGAAACATTCCCGCCGGGTGACGGTAACTTAATCGGGTGCGACCAAAAGCCCCGTTTAATGCCGGTATCGGGTAGAATTCCACCGTGTCCAAGTTTTGGGAACTATATAAACGTGTTAAACCTTTCATTTGAAGCTTTTTCCTTCTCTCTCTACTCTCTCTCTAACCTCTCTCTAAAAATCCAAGATTAAGGGTCCAAAACTCAATTTTAAGGTCTCAAATCCTTAAGGTAACTTCCTAACCTCATTGTATAGCTTATTTGACTTCCAAATTCGAGATTTAATCATGGAATTGGACATGACATATGAGTTTACGGCCCAGGAAGCTGCCTAGGCCGTAAACACCAAGTTTGAAGGGTTTTGAGCCCTTAAACCTCTCCTTGACAATTTTGGGACCTAGATATGGCTAAATGACTTCAAGATATGGACTTTAAACATTTAAAACATGGATTTTGTGATGTTTGAAGGAGTTTACGGCCAAGGCATGTGCTTGGGCCGTAAACTCATATAAATAGGGTTTTCTTGACCTTAAACCCTTCCAAACCACAAACAAGGCTTAGATATGAATTATAGAATATTGGTATTAGCATTTGGACACTTGAAACATAATTTTTGAAGGGTTTGTGTGAGTTTACGGCCAAGGCATATGCTTGGGCCGTAAACTCCTTAAAAATGGGTATAAATTCAATTCTAAGGTGTTAGAAAGCCATCCAACACCACCAAAAGCCTTGGAATAAATCAAAGGACCAACTAAAAATAGTTTTAGGGATTTAAACATAACAAAATCCCATATATGAGAGTTTACGGCCATAGAACATACTCCATGGTCGTAAACTCTAAAAACCCTTTCAAATCTTCAAACAAATGCATAAAAGGCCTTGGAACAATTTTACCAATCACATGTGATTTGTTTTAGCATCATTAAACACCATTTTCATGAGGATTAAGGAGTTTACGGCCAAAGAGCCTATGCTAGGCCGTAAACTCCCATAAATTAATCATTTTGATGATTTAAATCCATTCCAAGCCTTTAAATCCAAAACTAGAAAATTCCCTTAAGTGATTTGAAGCCATTTTTGCCCTTAACTCACCCCACCATGAGTTTACGGCCGTAAACTCATGGGTAGAGGGTCATGTGGCCGTAAACTCCTTAAGGAGTGTTCCTTTGATGTCCCAACTCATTATCCTAACTATATGTGTCCCTAAACGCCACCCGGGTCCCTCCAATCACTTGTATCGGGGTGTTTTCGCGACTAGAAACAATTGTCCTTATCAAATAACCAACCTAAGTCCTAATTAGATACAAATGTGTATCTTCACATCATACTTAGGAACCTCGTGTGTTTGCAAGCCCCGGACCAACACTTAGCATCTGAATTCGCCACATTTCTCGTCCGGTGAGTTCATACCCCTACCCTTTTTCAATTGTTTTTACTGTTTTCAGGGGGAATACAAGCAAAAGTACAAGGAAATCTTGTACTCAAACTTATTGTTTTCAGTTTAATTGTTTTCAATCTGTATGTTCTAATATCAATAACTGCGTTTATCAAATAGTTTGAATTACGAATTTAGCTTTCAAACTAATCATAGTTTTCTTGATAAAATGTTCTAATCTAAACTATGTTTTATAATCTACGAATAACTTATACTAATTTCCAATTATAACTAATTACGAATACGAAAACGAATGCGAAGCTATAACTAGGAATAGAACGAATACGAAGCCATAGAAATATAACGAATAACACATCTATAACTAGAAACAGAATGGATAACGAAACTATAATTAGGAACAGAACGAATACGAATACGACTGCGAATACGAATACGACTGCGAATAGTAATAGGAGTAGGAATAGGGAAACGAATACGACTGCGAATATAAATACGACTGCGAATACGAATACGAATACGAATAGTAATAGGAGTAGGAATAGGGAAACGAATACAATAACGAATACGAATACGAACACGAATAAGTACAAGAGTATGTTTAAGAATAAGAACACGAATATGAAGATATGTATCTAAGTATACTCCAAGATAATACTATTAGATTATCAGAATACCTAGTTAATACAATAGGTACGAAAGGAAATAAATCAGTATATCGAAGTTCAATAACTAACAATTACTTTTAGGAAAGTACGGGACATTCCTTGGGAAAACAAAACATTACCTAATCACGTTTACATCTTTTACATCTTTAACATCGTTCACATTAGAAACCATCATGCAGGAAAGCATGGGGCTTTCCTGGGTAACACTTATATAACTAGAAAGAGTAACAAACTGAATAACATTACATCTTTTACAATTGGTAATATACAATAAGGAAAGTATGGGACTTTCCTGGGATCATAGTTAAACAACCAGAACCGTATAACCTAACAATCAACCAACCTTCTCTTTTTAAGAAAATATGGGATTTTCTTGGATAACAACTTTTCGGTAAACTAAAGGAAACTCGTACATTTTCACAAAGCAAACATCTTATGAACTCACCAGCTTTATGCTGATTTTCAAACTGCTTGTATTCTCAGGTCAACATTAGACAGGTACCTAGCGATCCTTTTGGAGAAGACGGAGCGTACAAAAGACTCGTCTCTACTTTTGTTTATATATACTATGTATTACGAATGTACAACTTTACTTTTGAACAAATGTAAACTTTGATATGTAATGTAATGGTTGTTTACTTTGCATACTATGTACATTGGATTTGATACTCAACTTGGAGTCAACCCCGGGAACGTTTCCGCCTTTGGTTTTCGGGGTGTGACATCCATCCTGTTGTTGCAACAGAGGATGAGATGAAAATCTTCGGATGATCATTAGGTTACTATTTATATTAGGTAGATCGATATCGGGACTAACCCTTCCACCCATCTGCTGTTGCTACAGAGGACAAGTGGACAATCTTCGGATGTTCATTAGGTTATACTTTTCGCTTATTGTGATGTTGTGTTACTCCTAGTACCTAGTGACAACACTTACATTAGTACATTTTCCTGTTTACTTTATTTTTTGATACTTTCACATAAACGATGAGTTAGACTAAGTACTTTAGTACTAGTTAATAGAAGGAAAAACTATCATTTTACTTACAAAACATTCGGGTCTGGGTTGAACACTACATTTCATAATAACAGAAAATAAGGGATTTTCTAGGGCTTTTCATACTTATATCAACATTTTCATTTAAAGGTTTACATGACTTTTAAAATAGCTTTTCAAAGCAAGTCAAAGACACTTAAATACTTATGAATTCACCAGCTTTAAAGTTGATACTCTCTTTCAAAAAAAACTTGTATTCTCAGGTCATCAGTAGATAGGTACGGTGGCCAGGTTTTGAGAAGACGGAGCAGACAAGTCTCATCTTTTATTTTGATTATAATTTTGGTGTCTTATTACAATGAAAGAACACACATGTATTAAAACTTTACTTATAATGCAATGGATGATGTTGTTGCTTGTTTACTATTTTACACTGTTGTGATACTGTACATGACGTCCTCCACCCCTGAACGTTTCTGCCGTTCGTGGTTTTGGGGTGGGACACCTCTCCTATATATAGGAGTGTTTACTAGAGTCATAATACGAGTCTTTTACAGCATTGCCATTTGTACTCTGTAAATCTTGAGAGCGTAATAGAGTTGAAACAAGATCATATTTACATCTATATCCAAATCTTGCAATCTTACTTTGATCATTAAACTCTGATTCATTTCATTGATTCTACATATATTTCAAGTCACTATTAGTGCACCATGTAATGCATTATCAATTGTATAGATATTGATAAAAATATAAATAATAAATGATAATTCATTTATCGGTCAATCCATTCACCAAACGAGTATTAAGCTAGTTATATAGGTATATAGGTCATTAGGCTTCTATAACCAAGACAAATTTATCCGATAGTGGAGGATGCTAGCATTTTAAAGGGCTATTTGTTTTATTAAAACCACTTTTGATCACTCATGGTTGCATCGCACAGAATAAGCGCAACACTTAACCTTTTGCAGTTGTTTGTTTTTTAAAAGACTTCTCACTTAAAAATTGATGCGCATCCGATGCGTCGTGCAACATACTGGACCCTCCTCTTTGAACCACTTCCCACCTTACTTTAAGTGATATTATTCAACATACATTTGTTTTAATTTTTTTCAACAACATATTTATTGTTTTAATAATATTATGATGGATATTACAAAGAATTCAAATACATCTTACATAATTTCAAAACCATTTAGTAAATTTCATAAAATAGTTTTTTGAGCTTAATTGTCTATAACTAAATATTAATAAATTATAAAATTAATTACTAAAATTACCATACCTATTGAAGCTAACCGATGAAATAACCATCGTCCTAGAAAATTTAACAAAATGAATATGTTGTTCGCTAAATTAACAATTTTATTTATTGTTAATTAGGAATTATTATGTTTAATTATTTTATATAAACATCTTCAAAAATCATATCATCACAGTGATCTTTATATTCGATTTGCATATGATTAAAACTAAATAATTTTTTATTTAGAATTATTTTTAACTATTGTATGATTAATTTCATTTTAATTAAGCAATCTGTGGATGTTAAAAAACAGATATACTTCTTATTGCAATTTTCAAATGTTTGGTCCACTTCTTCTGCTGCAAAGGGTTGCAGATGTGTTCTACAGACTTCATAAATTTTCGCTTCGAAAAAACAAACAACACCTAAGAATTTAGGTGATCTCCACTTTCTCGAAAACTATCATCCTATTATGTCGACCACATATTCTATCTCATGATCATCTATACGGTTTTCTCTCTTGATAGCTCGCAAGTCAAAACATTAGCCTTTTATTTCAAGAGTTCTGTAAAGCTCTCGAGAATTGCATTTTTGATGTTCCATAACATCATATTTTAAATAAAAACGTCATTTTTTCCGGTACACAAAACATAATTATGCGCTAACTACATTATGCTTCACCCCATTTATGTCAGAATCTCCCATCATCCAGTTTTGTTATGGGTTTTCAGAATTCTTGTTGTTGTTGACCCTAGGAATAGCATTTTTGTCGAGTTCTCCACCTACAAGAAAATTTTCAACATCATGATCAGCCTACACTTCCATTAAATAAAATAAGCAGTTATCATCATCAGTTTTATGTATGTATGTGTTTATATGTATAAACTTTACCATCGGGATGAAGAAATGTGCCAGTATAGTAGGAAGCATCCTCGGATGCGAGGAACACATATGATGAACCTACTTCGACGGGTTGAGCTGCCCTATTCATCGGTGCTTGTGAGCCAAAGGTTGCTATATCCTCGTCATCGAGAGTTGCAGTAAGTGGGGTCCAAATAGGGCCAGGGGCCACACCATTAACACGAATCTTCTTGTCAATAAGGAATATTGCTAGACTCTTGGTGAAGTTCATAATGGCCCCCTTTGTTGAAGCATAATCAATAAGCTTTGCGTTGCCTGTGAATCCCAACACCGAAGTGGTGTTTATGATGTTGCTTCCTGGTTTCATGTGCTTTATAGCATGCCTATACATCCAAGTCATCACAACTCATCAAAATTAAAAGTGAAATTTATTAGAAAGGCTAATGAGAAAGTTATGCAATCTCAACCTTTCTTTGTTAATTGATTTAATTCATTTTATTAGATTTATTAATTGTTGAATTTAAATGTTGTAGTAACTTATTCATGGCTTAGAAAGTTTTATGGGATAAACAATGTCCATGGGCTGATTGTCTTGGGGATATCGTGTTGTAGGGATGGATAAGGTAGTTGTTTAAGAGATTATAAAATATGGTGACTGAAGATGTAGAAGATTATAATTGTTGGACCATGGGCTCGTTTCCTGTAAAGTTCAAAAGAAAGACACGGACCTTGTTTGTCTCAACACAGACATTACCAGAGTTATAAAATCCTTTCAACTAAGGAGATAGGTCATTATTCACTCCTCTCTCCTCTCCGAGTTCTATCTATCTCGATATTCGTTAGGGTTTCTACATCGTTGTTTGTCTGTCTTGTTCATCAGCAAACTATGCAAAACTACACTCTATAATCTTGTTATTTAGCTTATTTTGTGTTATATTTTTCAAATTTTATATTTTATTCTTGTTAACTTACAAACTATTGTATTTTAAGAGATTTTTAGTAATAAGTTGTATATTCTTATTCAAAAATTGTTTATATTTTGAAGTAAATATAAGCTTCATCGATTGAGTTTTCTGAAATCATCATAATAGATATTTTCATTTAAGTTTCACCACAAATTTAGCTTTTTCCAAAATACACTTCTTTGGTGTACATTCTGAAAATGACATAGAACTATCATGACGTGTTAAAATGTTGCTATTTTTCTACTCGGCAACTACCTCTGTGAAAAATAATCAAGTTACTTGAGAAACACATACAAATGATCTTTGGCATTGTAAACATACCCCTCATGAAATGGTCAAGGGTTCAAGTATCGTGTTGGACAAACGTTGTACATGTCATTAATGTTTCTGTGAATATATTAGAAGCTTGACATAAAATTGATGTCATATAAGGAGTAAAACATTAGATGACATGGAAGAACACCTACTTGGTAGGCACTTTCTATTCCAAAGACAATATGTTTAAATCAGTACTACAAATATGTACATATTATTCACTTGATTTTTCTTCTATTTACCTATGTTTGAGAAGTTTGAGCATGCCATGACTAATTGAAATTGAATTTGAGTATAATTTCCAAAAATCACCTACTTGGTTAGATGTTGTCCTTATACTCTAGTAAATCATTCCAATTTATTTCAACTCTAATTACCCAAATTTATATACAAATAAACTCTACATACCAATCTTATAGATAGAAGAGACTCGATCATCAATTACTAAAGTCAATAACTACATATAGAATGGTTGATTTATCACCGAATGTCTAACAAAGCATTAATGCCCATAACTAATATTTTGGATCTACTTACTATAATAAATGAAGGTTTTTTTTTTGCTACTTGTCACATTCTCATTCAAATTGTCAAATAACATTTTTTTGGTTATTTTGAATTAATTTTTTTCCACATGTCATTTTATGGATTTTTTTTTATTTTATTAAATTTTACATAATATTTTAATGTAATAATTACAATAAATGTAGTAATAAATAGATATCAATTTCATTAATGAACTTACCTTCTAAGTTCAAAATTCCAAAATTAAAGTTTATCAATTTTTTTTGTTTATTTATTTAAATTATTTCTTTAAATTTAAAATATAAAAAAAAAGCATTTCAATTTTAATAATTCATTATTCTTATTTTCTTATAAATTTAAAGTTCTCAAATATTTAAACTTTTATATCTAATCTTTTTTTTAATTAACCAATGTAATACATGGGTCTTACAACTAGTATAATATTAAACTATAAACAAAAACTAGTATTGATTCAGGCATGCATAAAAGATAAGAAGAAATATATCAATTATTAATGTGTGATTTGCAATATATTCTTATGACTTGCATACAAAAAACTTATTTTCTTCAAAGTTATAAGTTTAGTACAATTATCCTTCATGCTCTACTTTAATAGATTTTAGTTTAAAAATCAATAGCCATTCATTAGGTTTTTTTTTTAAATTCTTCGTATAGGGACAATGTAATAGAATTTCTCAACAAAACATTAATTTGTCAAAGAAACGAAATAATAACGAGCACATTAAGAGGATAACACACCTTGTCATGAAGAAATAGGAGAATATATTAGTCCTAAATATCCTTTCAAGCCTTTCTTCCGTGATGTTGTCTAATGTATATGTTGCGTACTGCACGGCTGCATTGTTCACCAGTACATCAATGCGTCCATATTTTGAAACAACCTCGTCTACAACTTTCTTACATTGCTTATCATACCTAAGATCAGCAGGTATTGCAATTGGATCACCTGCATAACTCATTTTTGAATCATTTATAATCTCTAAGGTGTACTTTGCATCTATGTCTTCAACACCTTTAACATAAGTAAATGCTACGGTTGCACCCTCCTTAGCAAAGAAGTAGCAAACAGACCTCCCAATACCTGAATCCCCTCCTGTCACCAAAGCCACCTTTCCCTGCACCAAGAAATTAATTAACACGAAATAATTGATGGCCTTTTAGATAGAAAGCAAGCAGACAATATGAAGATTATTAGTCGCACGTTGTGAATGTGGAATAGAGTTTCTATTAAAAATAGGTACAGATACAGAAGATAAAATCTAATTACAAACTTTGACGGTTTGACCTATATGTTAAGATAAACTAGAATATAGATAAATATAAACTAATATTATGATATTAATTATCAACTAATATTGTTAAGTTGAAGGTTGTAGGGGACAAAATTAACAATAACAACATCTATGAGACAAGCTCTCGGATAAAATAGTAGTCTATATTTATATGTTTGGTGTGTTTATGTGCAATCGGGTTTTAGGAGAGAAAAATGGTGCTTTTGCTATCATGTAATAGAGTCAGTTTACACGGCTTATTTGTCTGAAGGTCACACAACACATGGATGACCTAAACCATTTCAGTTGCTATGTTGACAAGAGCATGATACTCAGATTGACTACTGATGCGATCTACCATAGGTTGCTTTTTGGTGCTCCACGAGACAATATTATCACCGTTAAAGATTGAATAACCATATGTGGATCGACGAGTGTCAACATATCATGCCCAATCGGCATCTGAGTATAAAAGAATCAATGATGAGGGTGAAAGACAAGAGAAATAGAGACCAAATTCCATAATATCTTTTAGATATCGTCTACCAGAAAGTTAGTGATCATTCCTATGTGAATTTAAGCATTAGCTAACCATATTAACCGTAAATGAGAGATCTGGCGAGTGATGATTAGATATTGAAGCGCTCCAACCAAGGGGTGTGGGATTTGGAAATAAAGTACTTGAGGCTTCAAGATGAGTAGTTTCCACAAACGGAGTTGGCATGAGTTTAGCATCAAGGATCAAAGCACATGTACGAATATGAAAGGAATACTTAGCTTTACTAAGAAATAATCCACCGACGTGTAAGTAGCCTCGAGACTAAGAAAATAACTCAATCGACCAAGTTCTTTTTGGTGGAAAACTCATCATTGATCCAAGTAATGAATTTTTAAGTTGTGTTTGATCATTATCGGTAAAAATGATGGCATAGACATAGACCGGAAGGTAGAGAAGATTAGATCTGCAGATGAACCCAACCAATAAAGTATTTGCACGACTACATTGCAATCCAAGTTTTTTTAAATGTACTTAATCGTTGGAACCAAGCTCGGGAGGCTTCTTCAAGGCCGTAGAATGCTTTATTCAAACGATAAACTTGATTTGGTAAATGAGGATCAATGGATGCTCCATATAAATCGTTTTAGTTAAGCGGCCATTCAAAAATGAATTTTTATTGTCCAACTAATAAAGAGACCAGATAGAACAATCCTCATAGTGGAGGCTTTGATGAATGGAATAAATGTGAGGATATAATCACCTCTAGGTATCTAAGTGAATCCTTGAGAAACTAAAGGCACTTTGTAGTGATCATTGGATCAATTAGATAGATATTTTATTTTGCATAGTAGAGACCTAAGTTGGATCTTTCATAGAAGATTTAAATCCTTTGGGTTCCCGAGAAGCAAGACCATCCAATTTTCATGGTTTTTAAAAGCCATAATGACTTCTAGTCGTAATTTAGTTAATAAGAACAGTCGTAGGTAAGTCACAAGATGCATCCAGGTTGTTCATATAATAATTAGAAAGTGAAAAGGTAGTAGTTGGGGCTGAAGCTGAAGAGCGTGCAACAATAGGTATGGGTTTGTCAGATAGGATTAGATAATCAGGTGGATCGACACATAAGTGGTAGTTTGGGTTGTTAGTGGGTATTGGATGGTTGAATAGAATGATAGTAAAAGATTAGGGATAGTAGCAATAACTCTAGGTTCTAAAAATATGGCAACGTCAAGGGTTGTTGTAGAAGATGATATATCAACAAAATAAAAACATTTTTCATCAAATTTTGCATGTTGAGAAGTGTAAACTCAAGAGGATGTTTTTACAAGACAGTGAAAGAAATTATAATGACTACTATAACCAAGAAAAATACACGGACGGCTACAAGGATGGAAGTTATGTTTAGTGTAATCTTGTAAGAAGCGGAAAGCATTGTTAGGATGCGAAGTCATGTTCAGTTGTATTGAATATGTTCAAGTGTGGTCTTGGTGTTTAAGTATGCCCTTGGTGTTCATGTGTGCCCTTGTTGTTCAAGTGTGTTGTGGATGTTCAAGTATGCATTTGGTGTTCAAGTGTGTCATTGATTTTCAAGTGTACTCTTGATGTTTAAATGTGTTCTTGTTCTTCAAGTGTGTATTTACTGTTCAATTATGAGGTTGATGTTCAAGTATGCCATTGGTGTTCAATTGTGCCCTTTGTGTTCCACCTGGGAGCATGATGCCCACCCATGGAATTAGGGTGTGCCACTTTTGGAGCAAATTTGCCCCTTTAGAAGCAGGATGCACCCTCTTGAAACAGGGTGTGCCCCCTTGGAGCGGATGCACCATTTTTTCTATAAGGTAGAGCCCGTATATGCTAAGTGTCCCCCATTAATGCTCCATGGATTACTAGGTGCACCCATGAGTGCATGGCACATGGCTATACATATTCATCAAGGTTAAAGACTCTAGAAGCACCCGTATTTGGAAATTACGATACCTACTGTATATAGACTTAAAATTTATAGAATTGAACCATCAGAATTATGGTTTCCCATGGTTGCTTATAAATAGGCTCATATCCCCATTCAATGTTCCTTAGACATGAATTTGAAGAGATAAATCATTGTGAGGTTAAGAGCACATCCTTTTGAGCAGTTAGTAAGAAAGATAGATTATTATTTTTTTGCACGCACAAATAAGGTGTAACCTTTTGTGTGTGATTGTAACTGTTCTTGGAAGTTTAATAAAATAATCTCTCTCTCTTTCTCTCTCTCTGTCTTTCTCTCTCTCTCTCTCTCTCTCTCTCTCTCTCTCTCTCTCTCTCTCTCTCTCTCTCTCTCTCTCTCTCTCTCGTTCGCTCGTGGATGTAGGTCAGTTTGGACGAGCCTTGTTAAACACTATGTTCAATTTTGATTTAATTTTCAGAAGTTTTATTCCACAAGTTTCGTGAAGTACGTTTATCATTTTATCTGAAGTGCTAAAACTATTTTGTTGAATAACTAGAGAACTAGGAACAAAGCTAGGGCTGAAGATGGGAGAGTTAAGATTGAAAATTTTGATGGTCATGATTTCGGTTTCTAGAAACTGCAAATCAATGACAATCTCTATCAGAAGAAGTTACATTAATCATTTTCTAGAATAAAACATGAAAAATGAAGGAGGGAGATTGGGACTTGTTAGATCGATGACACTTGGTGTGCTGAGATTATTATTGGAAAATAATGTTGCTTACAACATTATCAATATGAAGACTACTCATGTCTTGATCACAACACTATCTGATGTGTACGGAAATACTTAGTAGTGAATAAGGTTTTCTTGATTCGATAGTCCGTGAATTTGAAGATGAAGGAAGATGACTCAGTAACTGGTCATGTGAATGAGTCCAACTTAATCATATCAAGGTTGATTTTGGTTGAAATTGGATTTAAGGAAGAAGTAATGGCTTTGCTGCTATTATCATCTTTTCTTGATAGGTAGTCCAGTATAGTGACAAAAGTTAGCAACTCAGTCGGAGATGCTAAGATGACATTCTAAGGCATTTGCGATTTAATTCTTGGTGCAGATATGTGCAGACGGAGTGCTAGATAAGCATCCAATAGCCTTCTAAGTACTGAAGAAATAGAAAGGGAGCCTAACAGAGGGGGTGCGAGTAGTGCAAATTGAATTCAAGAAGGAGAGGTGGACAGAACAACATCAGGGACGTTACCAATTAAAACTAAAAAAGATATTGGTCGTGTTAAAAATTAGTGCCTGAAGCTCATGGAAGATAAAGGCCAGAAAGAGATTAGTATGGCAGTAGATTTTGTAGGTGACACGCTTATTTTTTTAGTTGAAAATGCAATTGAACCGTGGCTCATGGATTCTAGTATGTCATTTTACGCCATCCATTCCAGTTATGTAATGCAAAACTTCAGCATTAGAAATGGAAGGTCAAACTCGCAGATAAAAAGTGTCTCGATATCATGGTTGTCATAGATGTGGTTATCAAGATGATTATAGAAGATGTTGATATTGGTTAGGTAGCTTGATAATGAGGATCAACATCTTACATTTGGTGATCAGAAGTGGAAAGTGGAGATGGGAATTTGACCATTTCTGAGAGTAAAAAACAGGGACTCTATATAATGCAGGTTTCTAAAGATGAAGCGCCCCTTATTGAACTCTATGCCACTAAATATTTGGTAATATGAGTAAGGAAGGAATAAGGAAGCTTGTATCTAAAGAAAGAATGCCATATCTAAAGATTATGAGTGTTTCTTCTAAGTGATTGCTATTAGATAATAAAAAAAAGTTGGTTTTGCAAAGTTATGCAATCCGACCAAGTCTGGGAAGTTGGTTTCAAATCATTTTGTTTTTTATAGTTCCACTTCAGTTTCTTCAATGGGAAGATCATGAAATCACTCAAGACCTATCATTGGTCAAAGGATAGGCAGATGTTCAGGAACCAGTGGGAGCTCTAATAAATCTGTAAAGAATGGGACCTTTGGTTATAATAGTTCTAAGGGTGGAGTTCTACGTGTGGCAAATATTAGACCTTATATTATCCGAAAGATCACTAATAGAAGTACTCCGTTAAGGTATTATCTATCAACCAATAACTTGTTGATGTGTTAGAATGGGTCAAAACTAGAGGACGTGTGGATGAACTCTATATAGTAAGAGAAGGTTATGGATGAGGAGTTGAGAAGATTGCAAAGCAATTAGATATTTCAAGTTAAGGATGAGATAAATAATGAAGATTGGTTGTCAAGGGAATCCAACAGAAGGGATAGGCAAATTAGCCACTTGTAAATATGAGTATAGTCAATTCAATCATGAATGAAATATCCTCTAATAATCTCCATCTAAAGCGGCTAAATGTGAATAAAACTGATTTGCTTGATGATAACCTGGAAGGATACATATGGAAGGCACAACCCAAGAGTGCTCTTACATCCTGAAAGAAAAAATCAATGTTTAAGAAGAAAAATATGTATCGCATGAAGCAAACTTCTAAGAAGTGGTACTTAAAGCTTCATAACTTCATGAAGAGGAGTGAGTTCAAGAGACATTAGCTTGATCATGGATGTTACCTTAAGAAGTTTAGATCTCTAAAACTATCCTCAGTTAAATGTGCATGATGTGTTGATTGTAGGTGCCAAGATGCAGAAGATCAATGAGCTTAAGATGCGGCTAACCAAAGAGTTGAAGATAATGAACCAAGGGGTTGCTAAGCTGAAGAAAGTCCTTAGTATGGTAAACTCAACAGATAAATGTACTAAGGTTTTAACCACTGAAAATTTATAGTTAGGCATGGCTTCAACTGTCTTTCAAAGATTTTAAGGAATGGGGATTGGCATAGAGAGAGAGAGAGAGAGTATGTGTATGTGTGTGTGTTTGTGTGTGATTGAGTAATAATGAAGATTTTAATGGTATATGAAGACTAAGTTTTTCAATCCTTCAACTGGGAGATTATTAGGGATATGACATCTTTTTGAAGTGTGTCCTTGATGTTCAAGTGTACCCTTAGTGTTAAAGAGTGTTGTTGATATTCAAGTGTACCTTTCGTGTCCAAGTGTGTTTTTGATGCTCAAGTGTGTTGTTGGTTTTCAAGTGTGTCGATTATATGCAAGTGTGAAGTTGGTGTTCAAGTGTGCCCTTGGTGTTCAAGTGTATCATTGATTTGCAAGTGTTACATTGGTATTCAAGTGTGTCGTTGGTGTTCCACCTAAGAACATGATGTACATCCTTGGAAATAGGTTG